GGGCCGGGCTGGAGATGGCGTCACGCCCGCTGGGTCCTGGCGACGTGGGCCGCGGCCGGGAGCTGCGGAGCGGAGAGCCCACACGCAGACAGCCCCGAACCTGCCTCCCCACCCTGCCGTCCCCCCGTGCGGAGAGCCGTGCGGACCGAGGCCTGACACCCTTCAGGAATTGCAGGCCTCTGACGGTTTCTACAAAACCAGCAAGCTGTCGGGGAACGTGTGCAGAATAACCTCTTCTGTTGAATAGTAGTGAACACACACATATATATCTGTTATACAGCATACATAGATAATGTATACACATGCATTTATGTGTACACACCTAAGCATCGAGTGTTTGAGGCCACTCATATACAGTTAAAGTGGAGAGAAAAATTTGGTTAAAAAAAAAAAGTCCGTTTTTCCCACCTAACTGATGTCTTCTCAATGTTCAATTCAGATTTGAAGTCCCTAAAGCGGGTTTAGAAAAGAGGACATTTGAAAGTCTGAATGAGGGTCAGCTAAGCAGATGATTTAAGTGCACACCTGCTGACCCCCGAGCTTGCGTAAATGATTGGATCCGTAGGTTGCAGTAAGGAAGGATAACACATTTGGTCATGTAAAAGTAGCTTTCCGTGCAAACTTTTTGGAAGCCTGTTTTCATACCTTTGTGTTTGTTTTATTGAACATCAGTATGCCAAGTATACTCCTGAAATCTTTCTTTTCCTTTAGGTTGTCAGAGCGGAACTGCATTGAGATTGTGACTAAATTAATTGCTCAGAAACAGCTAGAAGTAGTTCACACACTTGATGGAAAGGAGTATGTCACTCCAGCCCAAATTATTAAAGAGATGAGAGATGAACTACATGTCCGAGGTGGTAAGTAATTTCTCAGGAGACCCTTCCTACCTCCCCCTTATTTGTGGTCAGAAAACTCTTAAAATGGTCATAACCAAGTAAGACCTTTTTTATTTTATAGGTCACCTTTCTTCTCAGTTATTTCTATTACAAAGATTATAGGTTCTCAAAAATTTAAAGGAAGTATTCCATGCTTTTAACACTTGTGCATAATTACAAATTAGGTAACTCAGATGGGATATTTTATCCATCATATTACTATCAACACCCAAAGAATAGCCCTTTTTTTTATGTTTTTAAGTTGAACAAACTACTGATTTAATTGAAGACAATTTGGTTAAAATAGACCAACTTGAACCCCCCCTATATTTTTGATATTATTGGGATTAAATTGAGCCAAACATCTATCCCTTTTTGTTTTAATTTAGTTTTTAGATAGAGCCTCATATTTTTGTCTGCCACTACCTCTGCCTTCTATGTCTTCGGATTGTAGGCATAGACCCCCAACCCAGCACTTTAAGCAACTCTTTATTTTAGTAACTTCTGAGTTAGCCATTTAACCTTTGTGTTTATTTTGTTTTCTTTATCTTCTTATACGTAATACTAATAAAATAGGAGCTGCATTTTGGAATATTTTGCTGACAGAAACCTACCTACTTTTAACTTTCAAACAATTGAAAAAAACATCTTTAATTTAGTTGTCATTATGTCTTTGGCCTTAGTAGCTGAATTCTGAATTGTAAAGTAAATTTAATAGTCTTCATAGATCTAGCCAACTTGTACGTCACTTGATTTTCATAATTGTTCTGATGTGATGAAAATAACTCTTAAGTTACTACTGCCTGTAGCTTCAGCCTTAATGACCTACTCAACAAATGGTATATATGTGTGTGTATATGTATGTATGTTGACATAAATTATTTCCATTTGTGGACTTGAACTGATCAGCAGTTAATTCTGTTAAAGTTTGCACTATTTACCTGCTCCTTACTTACATGTACTTTAAAATTAATATCTTTTCTTTAAAGGTCGAGTAAACATTGTTGATCTACAACAGGTAAATTTTAAATTTATAAAATTTTGTTTTGGTTTTTCATTTTTTTTAGTACTATGAATTTGTTCAGTGCCTTTCAAAATATCCACAAATTAAGAAAGCTACTTACCAGGCTTAGATTCAAGGATCATGGTTTGAAGCCAGTCTTAGGAGGAAAGTCCATGAGTCTCCTATCTCAAATTAACCACCAAAAAGCCTGAAGTGTAGCTGTGGCTCAAGTGGTAGAGCATTAGTCTTGAACACAAAACTAGAGACAATACCCAAGCCCTGAGTTCAAGCCCCAAGACCAGCTCACAGACACATATTCACTAATGTTAGTATGATATTTTATGTAATATTTTATACAGTATATGTAATCATGGTAGAAAAATCACTAATATTTCAGTCTTTATCACTTTAGTAAGTAGAAGTTATAAATAAAAATTAGAAAATATTCTCAAAAAGTATAAATGCACTTGTATTTGTCAAGTATACTTTATTTAATAAGCTCAAAAATCTTGTCTGAATTGTTATCTTTTATATAAAAATGTAGTTTTCTGCTTAATAAAAATTTTCCTGGCTAGTAAAAAATGTAATTTTTTTAAGTAAAAAGTAAGTAAGCAATAAGTCTCTATCTTTTCTTTGATGAAGACTTTTAATAATTGCAAATAAATTCAAAATTTACCTAAGATAAAGGAGTTTTTTAAGAAGTATTATTTTAAGAAGTATTATCTTATACAACAGCACAGAATTACTAGTAATATAATTTTTGTTTATTTTCCAGGTAATTAATGTGGATCTGACTCATATTGAGAATAGAATTAGTGACATTATTAAATCAGAAAAGCATGTTCAGCTAGTATTGGGACAACTGATAGATGAGTAAGTATAATTAAAGAACCTTTCTTTTCTTTCTTTCAAATACTCTAGGCTAACCGTGGCTAATTAGATGTTGAATTTAGAGCTTATAGAGTCCTTCCTTTTCATTAAGATAATCATTCCACTTAAAAAGTACTAATTATGTGAACATACTCATAAGTCAATTTTGAATTTTTTCTATGAAAGTAATACAAAGTATAACTTGTTTTTTTCTATGTTAACTTTGCAAGCAGATTTTTTCCAAAAATACTTTTTAAAAAATGACTAACATGTCCACTAATAGGAAATATGATCGCACAATTTACAACTTAGTTGCATTGATGAGGAAAAAAGTAAGTTTAGAATATGAGCAATGAATGATGTATATATACCTATACTCTAATCCTTATTTTGAGGACAGACTCTATTTCAAGAGAAATTAAATGTAAAAGATGGAGAATATAGAGGAAAAGCATTAGTTCTCATTTTTTTCCTTTTTTCTTTTTTATATATTAGAAACTATTTGGATCGATTAGCAGAAGAAGTAAATGATAAACTGCAAGAAAGTGGTCAAGTAACCATATCAGAATTGTGTAAAACCTATGACCTTCCTGGAAGTTTCCTGACACAGGTACTATTTCTTAATAGTATAATATGTTTTTATTTTAAACAATTATTTTAAAGGATATCATTGAGGGGGAAAAGAAAGCCCATTCTCATCATTTGGTATATTGCAAGTATCCTACTTGATATGTGTTGCAGGAGTATACTGTATAGGTGTATTTTCTATTTGTTGATAGCTCTGAGGAGACATTTAAAATGATTACATTCTTCATGAGCTGCATGACTTCCTAAAAACAAGAAATTAAGTTCTAGGACTCTTGATCCAATGGCATGTATACCATAAGCATATAGATTTAATACTTCTCATATCAGCTGCACAGAATCTTTAACCAAGATATCTATAATTTTAACCTCCCAGTTATATTTCTCTAATATTAATTTCCCAGTTATATTTTAGCAAATAACTGCTGAAGATTATAACACAGAGGGGTTACCACTATCATCTGTGGGCGAAGGTTAAGGACCCCTTGTAGTACACAAGGCTGCTTTATTAGCAAAAGATTTTTCTATCTATGATGTCAATAGTGACATTGTCTTTTGATGTCCGTCCTCTTTTTTCCTTCTCCAAACTCTCACTTTTATATGAAGAAAAACCAAGGAATCTCACATGTTGTCTTAAATTACATATTTGTATTAATGCTCAAATAAGGTATCTTGAATTACAGCATAACAATGTTTCCTGAAAACAGAGGCATATCCTTAGTATTTTTTTCCTATTTTTAAAGTAGTTTGACATTTTAGAATCATAAAAGTCTGTCTGATAGAGTAGATGCTTAATAGGGTTTGCTGCTTAACAGATCTTAATTTGCTTCTTGTCTGTTCATTTCTTCTTTATGTGACACTAAGAAGAATATTTCATCTGCCATGTGCTTCAAGGCACTTATCTGTGCTTTTTCATAGGCTTTATTCAGTGAGAAATAGTGAAATTCTGGTACAATTGAGACATTCAATAAATACTGTTTTTGTTTTGTATGTACTGAATCAAATGAACAGAAGAATCTCATTTTACATACAAATCACTTTAAGAAATCCAATTTATGAAACTTATCAGACCATAATGATATGAAAAAAATTTGCAGTACTGATTTACTCACCTATACTAAGAGAATGAGCTATCATAAAATAGCATGTATATTAGAGATGTATTTTTCATAGCATTTTCGAAGTCTAAGTTCTATTTTACATGAGTAAATATATGCTTACCATAGGAAATCAAACCATGTGTTTCCTAAAAACATTTTAAAACTATCAGACTGTTATAGGTCACCAGTGGATCACAAATATATCTTAGCTACTCAGAGGGCTGAGATCTGAGCATGGAGGTTCAAAGCCAGCCTGGGTAGGAAAGCCCATGAGACTCTTGTCTCCAATTAACCATAAAAAAGCCTGAAGTGGAGCTGTGACTCAAGTTGTAGAGTTCTAGCCTTGAGCAAAAGAAGCTCAGGGACAGTGCCCAGGCCTACATTACAAGCCCCAGGGGAGCAAAAGCAACAACAACGACCCAAAAATAAAAATCAGGCTGAGTTCCAAATGATTTCTTATAAAGCTATGCCTGAATACATTTTTGGTTTTTTTTGGAATATACAACTATGTACTATTTTTTAGTTCTGTTTTTTTCTCAACATTACAAACAAATATTCACAAAGGTCGTTAAGTTGTTTAAAAACATTTTTCCATGTTATTTGTCCATGTAAACCTAACTCATTTTGAGATGTGAAATGTGTTCAGACTTATATCACATGTACCTGACCCCAGATATTGTATAGCTGTAGAGAAACACTTTTGAAAGTAGTTTACTAAGAAACCATATTATCTTCCAGTTCAAATCTGGACAAAGATAACTTGCTCATATTTGTGTCAGAGAAAATCATTTTTAAATCTTATGCTTCCCTAAGTTACAAAATCTTGAAATACTACTTATTACTCTCTGTTAGTGTTGGAAACTCTAGATAGGGTTTTCTCTGATACTCATGTATATGCCTTGGCTGTCTATTCTTTGGAAACTGCTGTATCTTCAAAACTGGTTAGTCAATCATTTTCATTTTACATTAGAGATAGACTTCATTACCAAGAGCTATTAGGATACTTAAGCATTTTTCTTATAAACAGTTTGACTAAGTTGTTGGCTTTTCTGTGAAATAATGAAATTTCCAAGATCCTGAACTTTTAAGTTATATATTTTTGATTTATGCTTATGAAATCTCCCAGTCACATGATTATGCATCAGCATGAATTGGATCATACAAATTGATATGATTAATTTTGACCTTTATAATTAATAAAAATATTTATCTGTATCCTTAGGCTTTAACTCAGCGAATTGGCAAAATTATCAATGGGCATATTGATCTTGATAACAGAGGAGTCATTTTTACGGAAGCCTTTGTATCTCGCCATAAAGCACGTATCCGAGGACTGTTCAGTGCTATTACCCGGTGAGATGCCTTGAAACATAGAGACTTTTATTAATATTTTTTTTTAACCCCAGCAGCTGGATCTTTCTTGTTTAAACAAAATCTCTTTGAGGACCCCAGTTTATTAGAAAAGGAGCTTCTGTGAATGGGAATGGGGATATCAAGCCTTTGAATGCACCCTATTTTCAACCTTTACCATCCTCATGACCCTTGAAATGCTTTCTGCAGATACAGTTTAAAAATTGCTGTCTACATCACTATATTAAGGTCACCCTGGATTCATGAAAAGACCATGCAGTTTACAAAGTTAGAACAATTTGGGCTCATAGTTCTGTCACATAATAACCATGTAAGCATATACCTAACTTACTTGGACATAACATGAGGACAGATGATTTTTAAGATCCATCCTTACCAAGTAAGAGTCTATAATGCTGAGGAACAATCATGTTCCTTCCAAATGTTATGTAGCGTAGATTCAGAACCTACATTCTCTGGTATCTCCTCTCCTGTGACATCACTGTCATCTCACTACTTTGTGACCCACCGAAAATGTCCAGCTCTCGTTTTAAAAGGAATTGTGAATGCTATATTCCACATTCCACTCTACCTACTACTGACATGGTTCATTTTCTTTTAGTGAGCCTTCTTAAGATGAAGATCTGCATTTACTGTCTCAGTGATCTGTTACTTCTCATCCCACCTATCTGGCTTCAACCACTTCAATAACAATAACATAGTTATCTTTAAATCTAGTGGTTATTTCTATTTTTATTTTGCTTTTCAGCAGTTTAACTCCAGCCATGATTTTCACATGGCAGCAAAAGTGATATTTTTGTTATTTTATAATTTAGCAGACATTTATTACATAACAAAGCACTAGAGGTTCAAAAGTCTACAATATTAGGAAGAGCTTATAGGCTATATAAATTTTCTTCTTATTTTTAAATAATCTGACACATAAGTTAGATAATTTCTTTAAGTTTCTTTTAAGAAACACTTTGTCAGGACATATTTAGGTAAATGGAATGTAAAGCATACAAAATAAAATATGAGAAAGTTGTAATAATTACTGTACAAAGAACAAATATGTGCAGACTTCACAGAGGACTTGAACTGATTTAGTTGGTTTATGAGTTTTAGATAATTTTGCTAACATTTTTGGGTAAAACAGTTTGATAAGATAAAAATTATTTCACACAAGAAATGAACCCTAAGATAAGTATTCAAAGTTTTTTACTTTCTTGCAATTGTTTCTAACATATTTATAAGATGATTTCTTTGTTGCTTTGTATGTCCCTTCCCCACGATATAACCCCTGCTTTCACTGTATTTGATGTTGGTATAATTTGTAGAGGGGAAGGGAAAAAGCAAATCGTTTAAATAGGGATACATTGCAACAATGAGATGTACAAGTCGTTATGTCAAAAAACGAACTTTATAACTTTGGCCAGGGGAGGTGGAGTGGAGGTTTGGGGGATAGGAGGAGATGGGAAGGGGTGGGAAGGGGAAACAAAGGAGGAGGCAACAATGCTTGATAAGAAATGTACTCATTACCTTGCCCATGTAATTTAACCCCTCTGTACGGTATTTTCACAATAAAAAAATTATTTCACACAAATAATAATTCACACAAATATTTAATAATCAATATTAAATAAATATTAAACAATATTCACACAAATAAAAAATAATTTAATTGAAAATCTCCAAACACAGGATTTTAAAATATTGAGTTCATTTTCAGAAACTATTTCAGCCTTCCCAAGTTTGTTGCAGGAGACTTAAAGCTTAGAATTATGTTAAAAAATCTTTCAGTTACGTGCAAACAATGAAAACTTAGAATAACGTTAACTAGATAATAAGCATACTGGCTTAAACTGAATAGGAATAAAACATACTTGAAAATTACAGTTATTATATATGAAATACACTCATGGGAAATCTATCCAGTAGAAATAAAAATGTGTTCAAGGCTGAGGATATGGCTCAGTATATAACAGCTCTGCTTTGAATACAGAAACCTTAGGTCAGTCCTTAGCACATCTCAAAGCACACACACATATACACATACAAATATGCCCTCACAAAGACATTAATACAAGTATTAGAGACAACCTAAATATGTATCAATTGGTGGATACATAAGCAACATCTCTGTCTATGTAAAGAAATGTTGTCTAATAATAAAAAGGATTAAATTGTTGATAAATGCTTGGTCATAGATCACCATGCAAAACATTATGCTAAGGGAAAGAAAGTGAAAGGAGATGACTTCTTGACTTCATTTATATTCAGTGTTTAATGGGGCAAATTATTTTAGAGATAGAAAACATTATTATGTAAATCATTGTTATGTAAATAACTCATGTCAAGGAACATTTTGGGTAATGGGAATATTCTAAAACTGGATTACACAAGTCTCTGAACTTCATTAGACTAAAACTACTGAATTATACACTTAAAATGAATGGACTTTATTACAAGTAAATTTTATCCCTATTAAAGTGGTTTAGAGAAAGAAATATGTAGTCATTACAGAAAATGCTGACAAAAAGCATTTGAAATGGATCCTTTTTAATAATCTACCTTACTCCAGGAAAATACCATTCCAAATTCTTATGAATGTTCACATTATCTCATTTTTCTTCAAAAATGGAATCTGTAACATTCATCTGACTATTTCCAAATGAGGAAAAGATTAACTGCACCGTAAGAGGGGAATGAAAAACATACATACAGCCTTCCAAATCCAGGTTCTGCATCCATGGATTCAACCGTGTAGTAAAAATAATCAAGAAAAAATTGCATCCATAATAAACATATAGAGTTTATTTCTTCATTATTGACTAAGCAATACAGCATAACAACTGTTTATAAATATTATACTAGGAATTGTTAATCATCTAGGATGATTTAATGTATGCAGGTTATAGGAAAATACTACACCACTTTAAATAAGAGACTTAAGTATTCACAGGTTTTACTGTGAATGAAGGGATATTCTAAAACCAGCTTCTCATCTATGTGTATGGATGACTATATATAGGAGAAGGCAAGGCACAGGCTAGAAATCAGAAGTGAGTATTTTTTAAATGATAATATAAATCTATCCTGGGTTGCAAGAATAGTTTGATTTCCCTAGCATTTCATTAGGGAAATTCCAATGAAGGATTTAAAATGCAGTAAAAACTTTTTTATCATTTAAAAACGTGGTTTTCATGAACTAAGTCTCCTTGTTTTGTTTTGTTTTTTAGTTGTATTAATCAATTTCAATTCTTGCTCTCTTCCTTTCTTCTGTCCTTCTTCCCTCTTTTCTATTATTACTTTCCATACAGGCCCACAGCAGTGAATCCTTTGATTTCAAAATATGGATTTCAAGAGCAGCTTCTTTACTGTGAGTTTTGTTCAAATATGTGTCTCTCAGACTAAGGGGTAGTTTAGTTGTAGAGTGCTTGCTCAGCATGCATATGCACAATTTACTGATTTTCATTTCTCAGTCCTAAAAAGCAAAATGGGGGGAGAGTGGTGCTTCTTTTCACTTAGTCTTAAGAGTCTGCAGTATAGATTGGTTGGACTTACTGCTTTGAACCCTTACTGCACATTGCAGGATAACATATTCAAGACCAAAACTATTTGTTTCAGGAGCCAGGGAGCAAGTAACCTAAAGACCTCCTACTAGGCCCCCTGAAAACCCCCTACTAAGCCTTTAATACATAGAAGGGACATCCAGCATCCAAACTGTAGCACTGCTTAATAGGCTAGTAATGCAAAATGTAATTAATTTCATGTTTTCTCCTGTTATATTCTTGAATCTTAATATCCCTAATGTATTTTCTGTTTTAGAATATTTCTTTATAACAGTGGTCATATGTGTATCTATCTTGTATACTACCAAACATTAACTGTTAGCTATCTCCAGAGGGATAGGTTGAGAAGAAAAGCAATTTATAAATAAAATGAAAAAATATGAATATGTATATGTGTATCTATGTGTGTGCGTGTATATACATGTATATACACGCACTCACACATGTTGGGCATACACATAGTGAGATGTAAAATTGTGGGATTAAAGATTTCTGGCTGTTCTGTTTGTTTTAAGCTGTGCTCGAAGAGCTTGTTACTAGTGGCCGATTACGAGGCAATGTGGTTGGTGGGAGACAGGACAAAGCTGTGTTTGTCCCTGATATCTACTCCAGAACACAGAGTACTTGGGTGGATTCCTTCTTCAGGCAGAATGGCTATTTAGGTAACTATTTTTAATTTAAGAGTATAGTGTCTTTTATTACTAAAACATTCTTAGAAAGTATTATACTAACCATACTTTCCTTCTGTTAGCCAGGTTACACTTATTCCTTAGATATGAATTTAATTCCAGAGTCACCTCACCAACTATAATGTAAAATTGCCAAAAACTGGTATTGTTTATCAATAACCTTTCTGTTATATAAAAATGATAAAGTAGGGGCTGGGAAGGTGGCTCAGTGGTGAGTGCTTGCCTTGCATGCCAGAGGCCCTGGGTTCGATTCCTCAGCACCACATAAGCAAAAAGAAAAAAGCCGGAAGTGGCGCTGTGGCTCAAGTGGTAAAGCGCTAGCCTTGAGCTGAAGAGCCGAGGGACAGCGCCCAGGCCCAGAGTTCAGGCCCCATGACCGGACCAAAAAAAAAAAAAAATGATAAAGTACAAGTATTTTAACACATAAGATTATGTTCCCTATATATTTTATGAAATTGCCCAGTTTTCAGTTACTTCCTCTTCAAAATATTTGGACTGTCAACTTATCAATGTTCATTTTTATCAGTTGTCTTATGCTTCTGAAACATTGAGGTTATTTCAAATTGTGTTTCTGAGGTTCTAACCATCATTTGTATACAGCAGATTGACTAAATTTAGTCATTAAAATAATAACCACTTAGTTTGATCAACTTTATAATTATATAGCAGATTACTTTCTCAGTAAGAAACCTGTAACAAATACTTGCTCTACTTATGTTTTCTTCATCTCTTGGGATATACTGTTTTTTTTCTTCAAGCTAAGATCTATTAAAACATTGTTTTAAACATTCTTTTATAGTATGGTTATTTGGGGTGAAGGTGGTAGTGAAGAATGTAGATATCTTCATTTACAATATTGTCTGTACATTTGAGAATTTTTTATGCTAAAACTTTTCTAGTTAAAAGACTAGAGAATTATTTTGTTCTAAATTTTTAACATTTTAAAAAGAAATAGCAATATTTTAACTAATAATCAAAATTAATTTTACTTTGTTTCTTAAATCATTACCTTATCTTACCCCTATTTCTGCTTTGATTGCTCTATAGTCTCATGTTTTTCTTTAGCCCTTAGAGAATGACACAGCTGGTATTCAGAAAGTATCAATTTTTCTAACAAAGAATTGTAATGAAAAAGTTTGAGAAGATAACCGGGGAACGAGCTATGATACAGCTCTATGTTTTATTCCTAAAATAATCTAGAATGCAGTACCTTTAAGATCAAAGCATAGATTTTGTTAGAACTTAACTTATGCTTAAGGTTTCTAAAAAATGAGAGTGGTTGACAGTTCTTTGTGATATATTTCTAGAATTTGATGCTCTGTCCAGACTTGGAATCCCAGATGCTGTAAATTACATAAAGAAAAGGTATAAGACTACACAGCTCTTGTTTTTAAAGGCAGCTTGTGTTGGTCAAGGACTTGTGGATCAGGTGGAAGCATCAGTAGAAGAAGCCATCAGCTCTGGAACCTGGGTTGATATATCAGTATGTTTTATCTATTTCTTTAAACCAGTAACAGACAAGATTTTGCTAATATGTAGCCATTTGGAAAGCTAGGGTATGCAAAGGTAATCTTGGCTTTAGAGGTAATTTCCAGCTGTCATTGTTAAAGCATTAACATTAGTTATTTTATGTATAAAGTTATTCTAGCTTTTGAAGTAATCTTTTTCTTGTGTATTATCAATATCTATAGTTTTGTTCATCTCAAAACAAATAAGAAAACAATGTAAAACACACATCAATCCTGATACTGACATTGATGAGACTTACTTAAGCATTTAGAACTCTGCTGGTGTTGAATATGCGGTAGCATTTGTTTATCCCTTATCTAGTAATCTCTGTTAACATATTAACATAAGCTGCTTTGACACTGATAGTATTTTACTTCAGTGTTCAGTGTAGACCTGCCCTCTATTATATAAAAAAGAAAAGTATAAGTAAAAAAGAAAAGTGTAAGTAAAGATAAACAGAGGGCTAATCTACTAATTTCTAGTCAGGGCTTTAATTTAATCTTCATAAAGCAGAATGTTCCTTGTTTGTGGTACAAAGTCCTTAAGTTTTTCTCTTGTTATTTGTTTGAATTTTGTAGTTTAATAGATATATGTAACAAATTTCAAGTACTTAGTATGTGTCAGTCACCATTCTCTTTGTTGGATAAAATGTCTCTTAGGAGAGACATTTGGAGGAGACATAGTTATACAGAATGATAATACAAAGGCAATAGAAAATGCTTACAATAAATGTATTTTGCAGGAGAGTTTTCAGGCCTTACTGGGAGATTGTTTGTGCATTTGTGAAAGAGAGCTTTTGGTGTCATTTTGGACAGTTTGTAATGACTTACATGTAGGGAAATTAGATAGGAAATAGGTTATAGTTCCCAAGCTCAGCATGATAGTGAAATCTGAAATACAGTTTGGAAAATCATCAAGTTAATTATGGTTATGAAAACCACATGAGAGCATACTAATATGCTTACATGTGTGTGCATATTTATATACATACATTCTTAAATTATTTGCATATTTTATATGTATGGCAAGTAATATGTATTAAATGACCTTTTCATTTCATTTTTATTTTGTTTATAATTCTAGCCCCTGCTTCCCAGTTCTATATCAGTGGAAGATGCTTCAATGTTGCTTCAGCAGGTGATGAGACTATTCAGCAAACAGTCTTCAGCTACAGTCTTTAGTGACACTGTTGTAGTCAGTGAAAAGTTTATAACTGACTGTTTAGATCGGTTCAGTGAACTTATGCACCAGAAAGCTGAAAAGGTATTCCAGATTTTCTTTCCTACACCAATCTTAACTAAATTTTTATGTTAAAGTCGTCTGATGTCTTTTGAAAAATGGCATAAGCAGTCTACCCTTCGTCTACACTTTGTATGAAATCTCATTTTCCTTCAATCATTCTTATTTACTTTCTTTCATGCATGTTCATTTTTCCATTTTTCCTTTACAGTTTTATCAGAACATATGTTAGAACTTACAGACCTTTTAAGTTAAAATAACATAAATGAAATTTTATACTTTTCTTTTTTCTAAAATCGAGTTTTCAACTCATGGCCTCATGCTTACTGGGCAGGTACGCTACTAGGTTGAGCTGTGCCGCAGCTCTTTGTGCATTATGGGTTTTTTTTTTGTTTTTTTGCTTTGTTTATTTGTTTTTTTTAGTCATGGAGCTTGAACTCTAGATTTGGGCATTGTCCCTCAACTCTTCAGCTCTAGGCAATGCTCTACCACTTGAGCCTCAGCACCACTTCTGGTTTTCTGGTGGTTTATTGGAGGTAAGAGTCTCAAGAACTTTCCTGCCTGGGCTGCCTTTGAACCGAGAATCTCAAATCTCAACCTCTTGAGCAGCTAGGATTACGGGCGTGAGCCACCAATGCCTGGCACTTAGTTGTTTTTTACATAGCAGCTCTCTTACTTTTGCCAAAGGCTGGCTTTAAGCCTTCCTTGATCTTCCTAACCATGCCCTTCTTACCAAGTAACAGGGATTATAAGCATGCACAGCTGAAATTATATACTTAAGTCACCTGAGGATATTGATCCAACTTTAAAATACTAAAATACTGAAATGAGCATAGCAGTATCTGTATAATTTCTTTCATGCATTGAGTAGCACAAGAAAATCATTAGGCTTTTACATAGCATAAGGTATATATATGTCCACTCAAGTATTATTTAGTAAATCTAGCAGAGCATTTTTTTTTCTAGTTTGGATATATAAATAGAAGAACTTACTGAGGAAAGAAATTCTGTTGCTATCAAAATTTACTTTCATTAATGATAGTGGGACATGTCTCAATATCAGTATTCTACTGCTTGAGAAAAGGCAATGCACACCAAGTCTGGGCCGCATACTAAGATTCTGTCTCAAAAAAAAAAATTAATTGTAGCACAATTGCTGTAAAAGTATTTGAAAGAGAAATAATGCCAGATTTGTCTTTGTCTTTGTTTTAATTCATATTTCTGGTTAACAGCATCATCTTCATAGAACCTGGCTTTACGCAGGCTTATTAAATAAATAATGTGTATTTAGGTTCACACATTTTAAGTTATATAATAGTATACAAACGAGCTTTTCCTGGTAAATAGAAAAAGATAAACAATTTTATAGATTTGATGAGTAAATCTTAGTTTAAGCATGTTTATTCTTTATGACTTCGGACAAGCAGATCTCCACTCTCCTTATCTTCAAAGAAAAGATGATGATATTCTCTCTAAAGATAAATACAAATAAAGGGATATATATATATATATATATATATATATACCTATATATAAAATATCTGATACATTAGCTACCAGTCTTATTACTTAAACTGTCAACATTCTAAGCATTTTTCTCATGAAAATATGCTTTTGTTACAGGAATTATAGAACCTTTTGTTATGAAAAAGCCAATCTTTGAACCTGAAAATAGTTCATGTTGTTAATACAAACTCAAAAAAATAAAATAATCAGGAATTAATAATAAATTAATAATATTATTATTAAAAAATAATAAAATAAAATAATCAGGAATTAATCCAGCCCAGCTCTGGTGGTTCACACCTGTAATCTTAGCTACTCAGGAGGCTGAGATATGAAGATCGCAATTTGAAGCCAACCCCAGGCAGAAAAAGCCCTGAGAATTTTTTGTCAGTCATATGTTGGGTGCTGTCCCTGAGCTCTTCAGCTCAAGACAAACACTCTACCATTTGGGCCACAGTGCCATTTGCAGTTTTCTGGTGCTTAATTGGAGCTAAGTCTCACAGACTTAACTCCCCAGGCAGGCTTTGAATTGCATTCCTCTGATCTTACCCTCCTGAGTAGCTAAGATTAGGAGCAAGAGCCACCTGCATGACCCTGAGACTCTTACCTCCAGTTAACCACCTGAAAACCAGGAGTAGAACTAGCCTTGAACAAAAAAGCTCAAGTAAGAAGCCCAAGCCCTGAGTTCAAGCCCCAAGACCCTCCCACCCTAAAAAGAGGAAGAAAGAATTCAAAGGAAAAATAGACTTACCGGGTAGCACTGGTCTTGGGAGGTCTTAAGAAAACAAGGGACAAAAGGCTCGCAGGTAATAGTTAAAAAGGATTACATCTGATGTTTTATTGTTTTCAGAGATTATACTTTCTAACCTAGTATTAGGTACAAAAAGCTAATTTTTTTTATCAAGATGAAACAGATTTAGAGTAGTAAACAAAGCTTTAGATTTCTTAACTAAGATACAAAGGAAAAACATTAGAATGTGATTATACAAACAACTTTTATGGTATGCTTTTTAGAAAGTTACATATTTTTCCTACCTAAAATGCATGTTTATTTCAGGAAATGAAAAATAATCCTGTGCATTTAATCACTGAAGAAGATCTGAAACAATTCTCCATTTTAGAAAATGTTAATACAAATAAGAAGGATAAAAAGGATGAGCGCAGGAGGAAAGCAACAGGTAATTAATCGTTGCTTATTAAAAAGATTTAAAGGAAGTTTTTATTTGGTGTGAATTTTGTATTGAGCCTTATTTAGAAGCCTGTACTTGTGTTTTTGACCTTTGAGAACTAATGACAAACCTTCTGATAATAAGTTGTTTTGATTATGGAAAATGGACGTGTTGGGGGTAATATATTATGGTTACTTTCTTGAGAAAACCTAATCTCATGATTTTTTTACTGTTTTCTGGGAGGTGGAGGCTCTCAAACATGCAAAAGGCATGGCCTCTTTACTAGAACATACCACGAATGTTCGCTTCAAGGCCTCTACAGTAGTTCTTCTCTCCCTGTGATGTCTTCTCCCACTCCCCCAAATATCATTAGCTGGTTATTTAGAACTTGGCTTTTAAAGTCATTTCTCAGAGCCTCCCTAAGCCATCAGAAAAGTATTCAGACTTGCTCTAGGTCAGTCATCTTACTAATTTTTTATCACTAATCATTGCAGTATATTTTGGTTAGGAGCCATGTCGGTCTCATTTTTTTGTTATATACCTGTTACCTAGAGCACCATTTGATAATTTTTGTGTATGTAAATGTGTACTGAATTAGTGATTTCCCCAATGAGCTATTATTTTTATAAGTCACTGAAAATTATTCTCGGTAGCACTTTTACACTGGAAATTTGTAGTTGAGAGATACGTGTTTTTCATACTGTTTTATGTAGGAAGAAGTTTTAATGCTATATCAAGAATAAAAATTGATATATACAGTTTTTATTAACAGCTACAGACACATTGAACTTTTACTATAAAGACTTTATTTTTCTCATGAAATTCACTATTTCTTTGAATAGTTTCATTCCTTCTTCAAACTCTTTTCTTGCAAAATCTTACAATGGTATTTTCAAATTTTTCTCAGTTCTTCCAGGACATGATAGCATATTAGTCCCAAAAATTCTAGCAGTGCTTACGACCATGTATATTTTATCATATATTTTCTTATCATTATCATCTATCCCATTTATTTATTATGTGAGTTGATGGTATGGTTAAAATATACCTTACTTATTTGGTGATGTGTCAGCATAATTATAATCTGTTCTGTTTCTTTCCAAATGTTATGGGTCATGTGGTATTTTATTCTCAGTGAAAGTGATGTTGTCTGGCAAGTTCAGCTATAGCACCTGGAATCATGTCAAGAGTGAATGTCTTTTCATAAGAAACATTACTAAATGTTAAAAGCACATTCACTTTAAATATTCAAAAATAGTATTTTTTTCCATTATAAAAGCAAAGGGTAGGTAGATTCCACAATACAATGAAATCTGAGGAAATTCTATACAGAAGTTAGAAAAACATTTTCAGCTTATTAAAATAACTTCAATTTACTGAAAAAAAAAATTTTTTTTTAGTCAGTCGTGAGGCTTGAACTCTGGGCTTGGGTATTGTCCCTGTACTCTTCAGCTCAAGGCCAGTGCTCTACCGCTTGAGCCATAGTGCCACTTCTGGTTTTCTAGTGGTTTATTAGAGATAAGAGTCTCATGGACTTTCCTGCCTGGGCTGGCTTTGAACCGTAATCCTCAGATCTCAGTTTCCTTGGTAGCTAGGATTACAGGTGTGAGACACTGGCACCCAGCCGAAAAAAGTCTTTATGAAGGAAAATAGTTTCAATATTTTTCAGTGTTTACAACCCATTTAAAGGTAAATATTCTGTCTCATGGAATTATTATCTTCAATGTAAATAATAGAGAATACCTCAGTAAAATTTTATAACTTTTAGTGTTTGAATTTGTTTCATAATTTACGGGGCTTTTGGTCGTTAGTTAACAAGTAAGGTAATTGTTAATGATTTTCTTCTATAGAAGTGATTAATATTCATGGTCAATATTTGTAGAATGTTATTATCTTTAAAGCCCTGGTGTATTCCCAGAATGTAAAATTGTGATATGCTTCTTGGCTTCAAGAAATTCATGATCAGGTTGATTTGTGGGTGAGTCACGATGTCTCCTCTGAACGTGGACAGTAATCTTTATGCTAATTAGCTAAAATCAAGTAGAATTGTGACATTATACTAGAGGAAAAATCTAGGATGTAGTAACAGATCAGCAAATGAAGGGATGTATCTTTTGAGGAGATAAAAGGTGAGATGATGGATTTGGCTAAGAAAAGATCGTACACAGCTATAGAAATAAGATGACATTGGAAAGAGATTGTATTTAAAGCAAGCAGGCTTTCTCAGGATTTTGTTTAAAGAGATTTCTTGTTATTTATTTATTTTAATAAAGAAACTCCAGGCTTTAAAAAGAGTAAAAGATTTTGCTTTTTTATTTTTTTTTGCTTTTTATTTTTCTGCTTAAAGTTAAGTGCAACAGTATAGAGTCATCATTTTCTAAATGACTAACTAATGTCATTCCTACCAGAGGGTAGTGGAAGTGTGAGAGGAGGCGGTGGGAGCAATGCCCGAGAATACAAAATTAAAAAAAGCAAGAAGAAAGGAAGAAAAGATGATGACAGTGATGATGAGTCTCAGTCATCTCACACTGGTTTGTAGCTTTACTTTCTTTTTCTTTATTTCTATATGACTTTTAAGGTATTTTCAATAAAATGTATATTGTTAAGTATGTGCTTACACATTTTCAGTAGGTACAAATTTCAGTCACCACAGTTAGGTTAAATAAAAACCCATCAACAGTTCAAATTTCAGTTGTTCTTGGATATCCACTGTGATAATTGCATAAAGCATAAACTTATTGCTAATTCTTCTGGCCACAAATCACCATGTGTAAATGACAGGTGACTATTACTGCCTATGAAAGTCAGGTCAACTCATTTTAAGGAAATATTCCCTACTGATCACCAGTTGTTATTCATTGTCAAATAACAAGGAAACAAATATAGTTGAGTTCCTCTGTCTTCCTGTAATAAACCCATTTGACATTTTACAAAAAATGGATAATTCAAACAGGAAATTTGAGTGATAGAATAAGTGGTTAATGGTGAGATTGCTGACACTGCAGTCATTCAGGAGACCTGCATCACACTCAGAGGAATGGAGCTACCATGCACTTGTGGACAGATGTGAGGAAGGGATGGTAACTGAGAGGATAGAGTTTATAGACCTGATCAATAGGCAAAAAAAAAAAAAAACCCTAGAAACAAAAATAAAAAACCCTTCACATTAAATAAATCTTTTGAGTGAAAGGCAAAAGGATAGAGAAAAGAAAAGCTAGGGCTGGGAAGATGGTTCAGGGGTAGAGTGCTTGCCTCGCATGCATGAGGCCCTGGGTTTGATTCCTTAGCACCACATAAGCAGAAAAAGCTGGAAGTGGCGCTGTGGCTCAAGTGGTAGAGCGCTAGCCTTGAGCTGAAGAGCTGAGGGACAGCACCCAAGCCCAGAGTTCAGGCCCCATGACCCCCCCCCAAAAAAAAGCTAATCAGAATTTTATATATATTTAATTTTTACAATAAAGCATAACTAGTTGGTTGCTTATATTTAGAGGGATAGAATTGACTAATCCGGTGCATCTTTTCTAGATTGGCTATTGTTTAGAAATGTTGAATCTGAAAGAGACATTGTAGTTTGTTTTTCTAAATAAATTTGGTTTTTATTTTTGTTTAAAAATGTTAACAAAACTATGATATTGCTCTCTTTATCAAAAAAATAAACAACACCAAATGTATAAGATTTATAGTTCTTTTCTTCCACAGAGTTCATTACATAGGAGTTATACCTAGGAGATGAGAATGGCAAATGATGTGACTGGTGTTAATACACAATGATTTGCAATATAGCTTGGTTACTTAAGCTTCTCTTTAAAATGTTCTAAGAAAAGTTGAAATGTCTATTGTATTTGATATGCATAAACCAGTGTTATTTAAAGGAAAATTTCTTTGTAAAAACTACTTGCTCTTGTTAGCTTTACTACATACAGTTAGTGATGAGATGGTCCCATATGTATTTTAATTTTTTCTTTTGCGTATTTATATAATATATATAATATATACCCTTTGTGTGTGTGTGTGTGTGTGTGTGTGTGTGTGTGTGTGTGTGTGTGTAAATAAATGAGTTTTCCTATTTCCTAGATGTATTCAGGATATAGGTGTAAAGACACATTTTTACCAAGAATTTTCCAGTATCTGTGGTTCTAAATGAGGCGTGAGCTTTGTGTGTGTGTGTGTGTGTGTGTGTGTGTGTGTGTGTGCGCATAGATTATTGAGGAGCTATGAAAGTAGTAAAAACACTCTACCTAAAAAGTAATTTGAGTCCTTTGAAAAAGGCTGTCTTGTAATCTCTGAAATGGATGCTGAAATTGGGTTTTTGGCTAAAATATAGAGTCAATTCAGTGTGAAAGATTACTAAAAGGAAATATAATTTAATAACAAGTAAAAAGCATACATGAAGCAAACAGTGAAAGCAAACTATTTAGCTTGAACATTAGGATTAGAAAAACAGATCTCAGAAAAGAAGGATAGTACTTGGATGTCTACTCTAAAGCTTTGATTTCTTCTGCTTAATTCTTCATTTATACTGAAAGGTGATTTTAAACTACTTATTTCTACTGCTATTTCACTTGTAGAATGGAAATAATTGCTTATTTAGAAAACAAAACTTTATAATTTTTAGTGGGAATATTGTTGGCTTCTTTGTCTACAACCTATACTCAGTAGGTAGGCATAATATTTCCACTGCTAACAGTTTCCACTATTTTAGCTGCATCTCATATTTCCTTGCAATAGAAATAATTTTGTAAAAACAAAAATAATTATTATCTTTACTTTTTTCATTGGTGCCTCCTAAAAGGACAAATTCTAGCTTAAAAATTCTATTAGAGTTTTGGACCTTTTAATACATAATCACTTTTATGATGAAAGAAATTCTACTTGGTCTCCATTGTCTAGCAAAGACAGATTGTCCTGTTCTAAAAGATACTTTATTTAACATGATTGTTTAAAACTCAAGCTATTTTGTATCATCCAAATGAAACAAAGGGAAAATTTTGCTTTCTATTTTTCAGATGCACTTGTAGAAAAGAGAATGATCGTTTAAAAGAAATTTAATTAATTTATTTTTTAGCTATTGTTATTTGACATTAGCAATATGACAGTTTATGATAGATAATGAATAAACTACCATTTTATTTCATTTGACAATACCTTATTGACTCAGGTTTTTTATGTGTCCCTTTCTCCCCTCACACTGCCTTGTCTGTAATAGGAAAGAAGAAGACAGAGATTACTTTTATGTTCCAGGATGAGATTGAAGATCATCTGAGAATACATGTACAAGATGCATCTGAGGAGTTTATTTCTGAACTTGCTGAATACTTAATAAAGCAAGTAGAAAACATTGTTCTCCCTTTCGGATAGAATTTCAGTGGTTATTAAGTACATACATTTTAGATATTTTTGTTTTCAAAGCTTTGACATTAATCACAATGTCTTTGACTTTATTGCCTACAGAGGCAATTTAGTTCAGCATTGTATAAGTATTTTGGCCAAAGTAGTATGGAAATTAACAGCTGAGAACCATTGGAATGTTTGCTGCCATTGCTCCATTGTAATTCTTGGTTGGGGAGACAAATACCAGGACTAATCACTAACTGTCTCTTGATAGTATAAAAATCATATTCAAAAACAAGTAAAGATTATTTTCTATCTTATTTTGATAGAAAATAGCGTTTACTTTTAGGAAGCACATAAATAACAAATCAACCTTAAAAGGAGTAAGTTTATCTGTGTGTAAGGGCTTACCACTCTTGGCTACTCAAGAAGCAAAGGAGGACTGGGGTATTGTGGCTCTAAACGAGTCTACGCAAAAAGTTCCTTAAGTTTTAGTTCCTGCGAATGGGTCAGGGACTTATATTCCACTATTCTACAAATTAGCTTTAAAAGGCTGTGTTCATATGTAGTTTTATTGATGTTCTTGACATTTTCAGTGTAATATCTTTGAGTACTTTAAGAAAAATAATCCATTTGAGTTATAATTCCTAGAGTCAGAAACAAATTTTTCATGAATTCTTCTCCAAATTAATTTTATTTGCTTGCAAAATAGATGCCATTTCTAAGGCCTTATTTCATTAGAAGCAAAATTTCTCATCTACATATATCTAGTACATTTTAATTAACTGCATTTATCTTGTACACAGACCTCTTAATAAAGCATATCTCGAGGTGGTACGTTCAGTGTTCATGTCTTCAACTTCTGCTTCTGGAGCTGGCAGAAAACGCACAATCAAAGACTTACAAGAAGAGGTTTCAAACCTATACAATAATATTAGATTGTTTGAAAAAGGGATGAAGTATTTTGCAGGTACACTTAATACTGTTTTGTTATAGGTTCTTGTATTTATAGAAGGAAATTAGTCTTAACAACGTACTTTCCTTTCCAGATGACACTCAATCTGCTCTTTCCAAGCACTTGCTGAAGACAGTGTGTACTGACATCACTAACCTCATTTTCAACTTCTTAGCCTCAGATTTGATGATGGCAGTGGATGATCCTGCAACCATTACAAGTGAAGTATGTTCTGATTTTCCTGCCACTGGATTGTTTTGAGTCAGCACATTTTATTTTCTCTTGCTTGAAATAGTTTTAAAGAGTTCTTTTTCAGTATTAGGGTTTTAAATCAGGGCATTGTGCTTGGTAGGCAGGGCTTTTACCCCTTGAGCCAAGCAAAAAGATTTTAGTTCAAGTACAGCAAAATGTATGTATAGTTGTCCACAGGAATGGTAATAAGACCAATACACTAAGAATAAAGATGCTTAATTATTTTCTAAGAAACAGGTTTCTCTTCCTCATCCTTTTTGGTCCACTTAAGATTAAAAAGTAGGGAAAATGAGGAAGGTGAAAGTATCTTCATACATACGACTTTATAGCACTGACTTTAAACTGAGTGAAACTACAGTTTTACTTATAGCCTCTGGCATTGGGGTTTCAGGACATAAAGGTGACATGTGTTGTTTTTTGGATGATGTTTAATTTTATATAATTTTATAAGGACCAGAACAGGGGCATAGTGACTCCCTTGTACTCCTACAGTACACTGGCCCTCTTCGCTTTCAGCTTGAGCATTACGTCCACATATATATGAAAACGTCTATATTTCCTTCTTTTTTGCCAATATCTACTGTAAGAAATAGAGGCAGTTTGTCCCATGCTCTCAAAGGCTGCAGGATACCTTAAAGGATTGGTGAGAAGTGGGCGCTATGTTGCCCCATCTTCCCAGATACAGTATACCCTAGGGTCTTGTTAAGGAGCCACTTCAGCAGGCCATTTCCCAAACCTTTGCACCAGAAGGAACTATCTGACTGATCAAGAATGCCAGAAGACATCACAAGGCACACAGACTTGGAGAAAGGTCTGAAAGCCTCTTCATGTCATAGCATAACAAGCAAGTTATCATGGAGCAAGATCTCAGGTCCCACCCTACAAGCATCCCTGAGCTCCGTGAGTAAGGCTCTTCAAGCTTACACTACCTCAAGAAAAGTACTTTCTTCCCACCCTAGTGAAAAGAGAGGAAATTGCCCGTTACCCCCATATTCTACTTCCCACAAAGCCAGTGACATTGTTTCTAGCCTTCCTCTTCTATCGCTGGAGCAGGTAGTGAAAGTCAGACTGTTTTAGGCTTTTTACCTAACTCTTGGACTGCAAGTAGAATATTTTCATTCCCAGTTTGAGATCTAATAACCAAAAACAAGATAAATCCATCGTAGTAAGTATATGGTGTTTGTTTCAGTTTGTACTGTAATTTATCAAAAACAATTGTTTTCTTTATAGGTAAGAAAAAAAATTTTAAGTAAATTGTCAGAAGAAACCAAAGTAGCTCTCACAAAACTCCACAACTCTCTTAATGAAAAAGTAAGTTGATTCTCCTTAGTTATCATAGCTAGAGCTTTGTATTATGATGATCTTTAAGTAGATTTTTACCAGAATAATTGCTAAAACATATTCTGTTCCCAGCAACTTTCAAAGGTAAAAGAAGAGAAACAGCTGGATGCATTTTACCATTTTTTGTCCTAAATCACAATTTCTAATTTAATACCAAAATGACCTTTTCAAAACCGTATTAAAGGTATAAAACTATACAACAGTATTAGATATCTATATTTCTTTAAGTACTTATATAAAAATACCAATTATGGTAAATATCTTTCTAGAGCATAGAAGAGTTTCTGTCTTGTTTGGATTCTGCAGCAGAAGCTTGTGATATTATGGTAAAAAAAGGAGACAAAAAAAGAGAAAGGTAACATTGATTAATCTGTTAATAATATTCATATATGAGACATTTCTTGAAATTTGAATATGACCATCTAAAACTGTCAAGGAAGAGTATATTTAAGTGTCTTTAGATCTTCAAGTGTATATAATTAGATATTCCCCTTTGACTCTCTTGATAACGTAGCAGAGTTTTTTAATTCCATAGTTGATTTAAGCCTGGAACTTTTTATTGGCTCTGGGACCTTCCTTATAAGAAAGCTAGGTAAATATATATAAAGAATTTCTTAAAATCTTATTATGGAAGTAGATCATTAAACTCAGGAAACTATAAAAGGAAATAAAAGTTCAAAAGGAAAGAATTGAATTTTGTGAGGAGATTTTAAATTGTCTATTTGTGTGTATGTGTTTTATTTTATTTTAGGCAAATACTGTTCCAGCATCGACAAGCACTGGCTGAACAGCTAAAAGTCACAGAAGACCCTGCTCTTACTTTGCACCTCACATCAGTCCTGTTATTTCAGTTCTCAACCCACAGCATGCTCCATGCACCTGGAAGATGTGTTCCACAGATCATTGCTTTTCTTAATCATAGGATTCCAGAGGTATTACATTTTCAGTGCATTTGAAATTTTCAAAGCTTTTCAACTTTAAATATGTTGAGTGGGTATATATGAATCATTGTCAGCACTCAGATACCAAACATTAACCACTATCTCTTTACTTTCAAGAATGTAAACAGTGAATTAGGACATTGATTTTTCATGTTTAGCATGGCTCTTAAGAATCTTTTAAATTCCATGGAAATACTTTCAAAAAAAGACAAGAATGTCTTCTTTTCTATTTCAGCTTCTCTCCCTTCAAAGATCAGTTCAGATGTCATAGCCTGTACAAATTCTTCTCAGAAACCCAACTCCTCAATTAAATGTTATCTGGCTTTTTTTGAATCTCCCTGTCATTTTGTTTTGCTTGATAAAACTTAGATTTGTCACTTTATGAAGTGATCTGCATAGATGTTTTCCCCAATATATCAACTACTTGATATGAGGGACCTTGTTAGATTCAGCTTTCAACATACGTGGCCATTGTTTTATAAAGATGAGGTCTTCAATATGCATTGGTCAGAAAACTTTACATTATCTATCCCGTAGAACCTTGAATTCTGTTCACTAATGACTTTTCTTCTCCTTTCTCTTCCTAGGACCAGCATACTCTTTTGGTAAAGTATCAAAGTTTGGTTGTAAAGCAGTTAATCAGCCAAAATAAGAAGACTGGGCAGGGAGATGATCCCTCAAATGATGAGTTAGACAAAGAACAGCAGGATGTCGCCAATACTACTCGTAAAGAGCTTCAAGAACTTTCTTTATCCATTAAGGACCTTGTTCTGAAACCCAGGAAATCATCTGTGACAGAAGAGTAGTGATCTTCTGTGTGTTACTAGTGAGCATTTTCTCCCTATGGTTAAGGTTGAATGATCACAAGTAATAGACATGGCCCCTACTCTCCTGTCAGCCCTTCGCTACACGGAATTCAAATAAAATAGTGGTGATGTATTAAATGTCAACCTTACAAAGATGTGAATTTGTACAATTGGATTCTCTCTGAAAGTTTTTCTCTTCATATAAATTCTGTGTGTAATATTTTTTCATACAAAATTATTTTTGCATAATTCTAACACTATTATATATTTCAGGCTTATTTTCTTCCAGATACTAAGTAACAAATAAAGTTTTGTATTTTTCACCTCTAGGAAAGATACTTCTCATTTGCTATTTGATTTTAGGTAACATTCCTATAATTTCATACATCTACGGAGAAACAATGTGATCATGTTTTTTAAAATAAGAAAAACTGTTTTTGGTGTTAGAAGTAAGACTGAGTTGGAGAATGCTTTGAATAAATGCTAAAGTAAGCAAAACATCTTTATTATGAAGCCCTGACTTTTTTTTTTTTGTCAGATAGATGGGGCTTTCACATGAACTTTTCAAGGGCCACTGGGGTGCTTTCACTGGTGAAAAACCAGAAGGGCCCCTTCCCTTCCTGCCCTTTGGAAACAAGCTAACAACAGTGACAGGAAAGACTGTAGCAGGTATAAGTCACTCCTGACATCACACTCACTACAGATGTAGTGCAGAGTTTCCTATTAACCCAGTTTACATATCTAAAGTTGTTTCAGGAGCTATTCTTAACATTTAATACGTTATAAGAACCTGTAAAGTAGAACGTTGCTTTCCCCAGTGATAATCTATAAATGCATTTTAATCATTAGAAGCTTTTTTTTCCAAAAATAAAAGCTCTTACTAAAAATAGATAATCATAACTGGCACTTGGGGTCATGCCTATAATTCTAGCTATTCAGGAGGTTGAGATCTGAGGATCACAGTTTGAAGCCAGCCTGAAAGGAAAGTTGGTGAGACCATTATCTCCAAATAACCACCAAAAAGCCAGAAGTAGAGTTGTGACTAGTAGAATGTTAACCTTGAGCTAAAACAGCAAAGGCACAGCACCCAGGTCCTTAGTTCAAGCCCCAGGACTGGCACACCAAAAAATAGGTATTCTTATTTTCTAACAATTATTTGTTTAACTAAGATAGTTTTTTGGAGTGATCATTTCAGCCACATGAATTTAAAGCAACAGTTTTATTACGTATGAAAATAGATTATTTTAAATATAATAGCAAATTAAATATCAAATGTAAAAATTATTTTATATAATTCCTTATATGACATATAAAACTTTATACTTAAAAATTTTGCATGCAAAGATCGTGCTACCTCTTTTGCATTTCAGACAGTTTTAATCCTGTAATTGCTGACTGAACATTCTTATTACGGTTGGTAGAACTATGTTAAAAATATTTTGACTAATTTTGTATATCTTCATATGAACAAAGGAAGACAAACAGCAAGTACTTTATGACTGAAGACTCTAATTTAGTTTTATTTATTTCACGTCCAAAATATTAAACACCTTTTTATTCAGACTTTTTATTCAGATGTTAAGAATCTTATCATTTATGTTTCAGCAGATACCAAAGTAATCATGTTTCTGTCAAACTAGATAACAAATAGAAGGTACAGATTCTGATTTAATTTGTGAGTATAATACAGCAAACCATTGAAAAACTAAAAAGTATTTTGTCTAAATTTGTGTTAATTCATATTTTTCCAAAGTAAATAGTTTTTTGGTAAATATTATACAGTTGATTTTGTATGTAAAGATCCAATTTCATTCATATAGTGAAAGTTGTTCAATATTTACTGAAATCTTAATGTTCAGGTTAAGTATATTATTTAAAATAAAATTGCTTCTATTGAATAGTACTTTAAAGACTTATTAATATCAAAACTAGTTGATGGATATTGTGTAATATATTTAAATTCTCATTTTGAATATTATTAAATGATTGTATTTTATAAATAATTCCAGTTATCTTTCATTACTTGAGTTTGCCCATCATTATCTTAGTCATTTCTCAATTAGCCAGATATCAGTAAATACGCAGCTATATTCTCATATCTGTTAATTCATATTATTGCAGTTATTATAAAGTTGTTGGAACATGTGGCCAGATCCATCTTCTGATATTTTTAATCTATAGACCCATATTCATTTGGAGAGTCAAAGGAAGCCATCCCAGTTCTGACCATCTGAAAGATCCAGTGACTACTAGAGTTTAAGTTGTTTGACCTAAATGTAGAACGATCTTGAATGTATTAGGGAAATGCTCTGCCCATACTAGAAAGCATCAGTGGATTCAATAGTGATCTGGAATTGCTGCAGACTACACATTGAGAAGGAGCAACTGACTGCATTTTCAGAGATGCCATTTAACCCAGACCCACATGGGATCATCTCTGTCAAAAACTAATTTGTAGCTGGGTGCCTATGACTCATACCTATAATTATGACTACGGATCTGAGGATCGTGGTTTGAAGCCAGCCTGGGCAGGAAAGTTTGTGAGACTTTTATCTCCAATTAATCACCACAAGCTGGAAATAAAGCAGTGATTCCAGTGATAAAGAGCTAGCATTGGGCCAAAAATTCTCAGGGATAATCCAAAGCCCAGTGCAAGCACAAACAAAACAATTTATGTGTTTGTGAATTGATTGGAAGTAGAAGGTGGAAGCTTTGCTTCCTTTTATTAAAACCAGGGTACGTGGAAGCTGACTTCATATATACAAGAGGGGCACCTGTGGTATATACTTATGATCCTCATTGTTCAGGAAGCTAAGAATAGGAGGATTACAGTTCAAGGCCTGCCTGGGTAAATCTCATCTTAATGAGTTGACACAGTGGTGTTTATCTGTCATCCCATGCATAAAGGGAAGCTTAGATAGGCAGATCACAGTCTAGGCTAGCATATTAAAAAGTGAGATCCTATCTTGAAACTAACAAAAGCAAAAAAAAAAAAGGTTGAAGTCATGTTTCAAATGTCAAGAATGCACAGCATCCTGATTTCAAACCCCAGTACTACCTATAAGTAAATTAAGACCAAATCTGCATCTACATATATAATTCCTCTGGGTTGTACATTTTTGTATGTGTGTGCTGGTACTGAGGCTTGAACTCAGGCCTTGCACTCTGGCTTGACATTTTTACTCAAGGCTGGCATTCTACCACTTGAATTGTACTGCACTTCCAGCTTTTTGCTGGTTGATTGGAAAAAGGAGTATCATTGATTGTTTTTTTTTGGGGGGGGGAGAGGGGAAGGGGCGAGACTGGCTTCAAACAACAATCCTCAGATCTCATCCTCATGAATAGCTTGAATTATGATAAATACTGATGTGTGGCAAGGATGTACATTTTTCATACAAATCCGGAAATATTAATAAGTGTCTTAAAAAGTTAAAGTAAATTAAAGAATAGCAGGACTCCAAATTCTTAAAATCTAATAGGCATTCAGAAAACAAGTTTATTCCAAGTACATCACAAAAAGAAAATAAGCACAATGAATACAACATAGTTAACATTCCTACTGTTGTTTTACTTGCTTTACCACACTTGTTCTTAATTGCATTTATTAAATTTAGTAAGACAAGCATGGTGCTTCTTTTGAGGAAAAGGAAAAGGGTAGAATTTTGGTAGGTTGGAAGAAAGATTTGTCTTCAACAACTTCCTGGATTTTTTGTGACATCTGAATACTGAATACTAATGTAAATTTTTTTTAAGTTATCTCTTAGTTTTAAGCAGGATGGCACAAATCAACATTTACAGTGTTTTGACAAAAGTAAGCAGAGGGTGCTGTAGGAGAAGAAATGACATTCAGACAGTCATACACAGCTGGAAGGCTGTGCATAACTCCAGAACTGAATCTTAGAAGAAATACTAGTATTGTCCTCAAAGCAATGGAAGAAGAGAAGAAATATTCCTTTTTTTTTTGAGGGACAGAAATGGTATTATGACATAGACATGAATAATGAGACATTTGGGGAGCACTAGGAAATGAGAAACATGACAAGTAGCCTGGGAGGTGTAATGCAGGTAAAGTGGAGATCAGAGGGGTATCATGAAATGCCTTATGCACTACCAGTATCCTGCAAACATGCAGACCCTTTGAAAGATTAAACCCACCACGGAAATAAGATGGTTGGGTTTACTTTTTAGAGAGAGCATTGCTCTTTCTATTTGATAATTTATCAAAATCCATTAAGTTGGACATAGTATTAGTGAAATCAATTGTTGTCTTTTCTGAGAAGTAAAACCAAACTAAAAATAGTATATAAACCTTTCCCCCCTGTTTCAGTAAAAGGGGAACAAGGAGAAGGCACTTGCACAAAAAGGAAACTATCTTGATTGCAATACTTTTGATGAGTCAAAGAAAAAAAGTCCATTATGTGACTAGTCAAGCTGAAACAAACATCAATTTGTCTTTGACATGTCTTGCTATTTGGAAGTAAAAGCACCTTGTCAGGTTGTTTACCTGAAGAACCTGTAGCTCTTAACCTAACTCATTACATACATGTAAATTGGAAAAGTGCTTGAAGGCATGTTAGGATAGAAAATAGAGTTGTTTAAATTGTACTTAATATATGCAAATGTAGAGTGGATGTGCTACGTTTTTCTTTTTTCCCTGCTTAAATCTAAGTCTTCATGAATCATGTTCTATAAATGCTCTACATAACTTTTGGCATCAAAAAATAGAAAAAGAGCACTATTTTATTATTTCATTATACTGAAATTATTTTGTAATTATTTGATTCAGAAAATTAGTGTTATAAGGGAAAATAAGGATTCAGAACAAACCCAACATATGCCACCTTGACATTTAAGAACACAGAAGAGGATTTGTTTGGGGGATTTTTAATTATTTGAGTTCTAACTATATTTAAATATGAGACGGTCTGTTTATGGCTAGTGAAGATCTCCTCCCAGTCCTTTCTATTGATCTTGCTAGCTAGGTCCTTGATCATGCAGAAGACCTGCAATTCAATGCAATCCCATTTGCCCAACCTTTCTTTGATTTGCTGTGTTTCTACATCTTCATTAAGAAATTTTCGGCCTGTGCCAAGGAGCCCTAGAGTTTCTGCTGTTCCTTCCTCAAAGAAACAACCACTCCATTAATAAGTGGGCT